TTAGGTCCGGGCTGTTACTAATTTATTCCAGGAGTGGGCTTGTTAAATCATTTCTGAGGATACTTTGCTCTATGTTTTGGATCATTTTCTTGCTGGAATACCTGCCCATAACCACACAACACTTGTGCTGCTGGAAGGACTTGTCCCAGTAGAATATCAGTATACACTGCACTGGTCATGTTACCTTCAAATACACATAACGTATTCGACATAATAAGCTCCCCGCCCACGGCGATATTTTCTAATATTGGCTAATGAACAATCCCAATTAGCACCCCTTCCGATTGATCAATGTACAAAAGACTTATTTTTTCGTGTACAAAACGCACTCATGTGTTATATGCACCCTTAATTATGGGCAATTAAATTCTGGAAAATATATCTGTCGTGTATAATACGCACATACTTTTCTTTTGTGTCCTTTCAGGCTGTCAGCATAAACTACGAAATTTACAATCTTTCAACTCTGTTTTTTTTCTCACCATAATTATATTCTATTAAGAGCCCCCTATTTCTAATTTTGAGAGCGCCTGGGCGCTTATTACGTCGAATACGGTAATGGTCTGGCACACAAATCAGCGCCCGGGGCGCTGGTAAATGTTTGTTTCTGTACCTAAATTGGTTCACATTTTTATGCAGTTGAGATATAGCCATACTGAACTCTCATCTGAGAACATAACATTGTTCCAATTTAAATTTCTTTGCTCCAAACACCAGTTCAAGCATCGTTCTTGCTGTTCAGGTTTTAGGAGTGTTGATGGGATTCCTCGTGATTTCTTTTGATCCATTGCATGCAAATGCTTTATTATTGTCTTTTGAGAAACATGAACTGTTCCTCTATTAATCATTTCATGCCTAATATTTTCTATGCTCCTTCTTCTGTTTTTGGACTCCAATAAACCAAGTCGCCTTCTGTCACTGACAGTCAATTTCTTTGGCCTATATGCTCCCTTTTTGTGCTCAATTTCATCTACACTCTCAATATTTTTCAAAACATGGTACACAGTTGATAGTGGAATGTCTGTTCTCTCTTTAATGACCTCTGCTGATCTGATTCCTTGATTGTATAATTCAGAAATACCATTTCCACAGTGGCCTGGTTTGTTGTCTGCTAGCTTGTTTTCTAAGGAAGCCAACTATACACTACAAATATGACACATTACATGGAGTTGTCTCCCTTGAATCAAAGTTGGAATAAATTCAACATCCACCTTTGATATGGTAAATATTGATGGTCAAAATGGTATGTAACATTCTCCATAATTTCTGGTCAAACTATATGTGGTTGGGCTAATTTATGTGCCATGAGTTCATTTTCCTTTACGATCACCATTTCATCCAGGTTGTTCAATTATAGGAACGTGTTGCGGAACATGGACTTGGCAGCTCATGACAGCTTGTGGCTGCCAAGACTCTTCATACTGCTACCAACCTGTAGGTCATATAATCACAGGTGACTTCTCTATTATTGACAAGAACAACCTTCGTAAGTTATTCAAATATGGACCAAAATACCGTGAGCAGCCTCCTACCAATTGGGATCACGACTTTAAAATCATTATGGATGCTGTCAAAGCATATATCAATAAATGGGCCAAAAGAGAAGATGAACATGTTTAGTATCTTTCAGAGTGTGTTACGTCAGTGCGTGAGGTTGTCATTGGTAGAATGCACAGATTGAAAAAGAGGAAACAGAAATGGAACAAACCCATTCTGTCCCCCCCCCAGCTGTCACCCAAAGTCTGGCTGCCCTGCAAAGATAGTTTGTAGTTGTTCCAACTGACAAGGCCTCAAATGACTAAACCAATATATATGTAAACATCTCTTCATTAATTGTTTGATGAAAGAACTTGGTATAAGTGACATATAAAATAATGCCACATATAAGGCCAGTATGTTATCTGTTAACTCTAAAATCTGAAGACATGTCTATTCCTCTTTTGTACTGTATTCCAAAGCTCCATAAAAATCCATACAAAGAGAGATATATATCTGGGTCCAGCAAATTACCACCAAATCCTTGTCTCAAAGATTAATCATAATTAGGAAATAAACGACGAGTGGAAGCTGTTTATCATACAATAAACCACTGCAGGGAGAATAAACCATGAGGGTTGCAGTCCTGAGTTGTTTATTCTCCCTGCAGTGTTTTATTGTATGATTTGGTTAGTTGGTTTGTTGTTTAACGCCGCACTCAGCAATATTCCAGCTATAGGACGGCAGTCTGTAAATAATCGAGTCTGGACCAGACAGTCCAGTGATTAATATCATGAGCATCCATCCACGCAATTGGGATCGATGACATGCATCAACCAAGTCAGCGAGCCCGACCACCCGATCCTGTTAGTCGCCTTTTACGACAAGCATAGTTGCCTTTTACTGCAAGCATGGGTTGCTAAAGACCTATTCTACCCCGGATCTTCACGTGTCTACTGTATGATAAACAATGAGCACAAGTTGTTTATTTCTTATATGAGAAATCAACATTTTGTATAGCCTTTTTAGAATGTCAATAAATTGTACAATCTTAAAAAAACATTTCCCAGTATTTAAATAATGATGATTCCCTGACTACAATCCGAAATCGGTAATGTCAGACAACTCCATTTTAGATAAAGTGGGGTTAAGTTTGGTATTCTCACAATTTTCACGTCAATTATCTTTTCTCCCAATACTGGTTGCCATATCTCTCCCATTTTTGGTGGCGATCGTTCGGCCATTGTATTTATCAGCCATGTCCAGCTACATCTATGGGGAACAACTCACTAGACACTTCTCTAAAAAATTAAGTCCAATTTATGACGTCAGCACATGACCTCATGATAGGACAGTGTTTTATCACGAAAGAAACCATGCCTCGTTCTTCATTGTTCTTTGCGATTTATCGTGTAGCTATCTTATATTCCTTAATACAATCAACGAAAGACGTTCATTATATACACAGAATGTATTTGAGAAAAGTGGAATTGATACCATGTGGATTCTCAAAAGTTCAAAGGATTTGCTTGACTTTTTACAATCTCAGAAAAGAACAAAGTTAAATTATGTCAAAACATTTGTTTTTTCAACTTTGTACTCCACCATCCCACATGACAAACTTCAGAAAACACTTCATACCTTGATCTGTGGTGCTTTTGTTACAAAATATGGTGATGATAGATATACTAATAGTTATATATCTATCTTCAGAGGTTCAGGACAATTTGTCAAAAATGAAAGCAAATGCCCTCTGAAGTTTACAGAGAATACATTTTTTGAAATGCTTGACTTCCTCATTGACAACCTCTATGTAAGATTTGTGGGTAAGGCATTGAGGCAAGAAGCAGGCATCCCCATGGGCACCAATTGTGCTCCCCTTCTTGCTGATCTGACAAAAATGATGTCTGATGCAATGTGAACAATTGACTTGCCTTGTTTGTGATGGGCACCACTGGTGGGGCAGGATACACTCACCTTTTAGCCATGTAAATGGCGAGTATACAGATGCATGTTAAGCTCACTGCTGTCATTTATATGCACATATTTTGAACACTATACATTGAACAGTCACAGTCTCTGTTGTTGGAAATTGATTGAATATGTACAAGTGTTACAAGAATGTATTTGCATAAAATATGATATATATTGGAATATGTTAAACAGTAACAATGATTAAGACTGAAACATAAATAAACAGGAAATAGATTTTTCAAAGCTAATAGTGCTTCTGGTTTCTATTTTCTGAAAATGACAGTAGCAACAGGTATTTTTTCAGACCAAAACAATACATAATGTATAGTGAGTATATTATTAATTCCCAAGTGGTAAGCTCAATGAGTGTGTGCCTGTGATTGAGTGATTCTGTGTGGCAGGCGACTCATCAGCCGATTACTGATATTGATTGTGAGACTGCAGAGGTAGGTGTGACTTGACTCCGTGAAATACAGGTGGGCATGGCAACTAGTGACAGGTGAGCCAGGAGTAGATCAAGGTAATTAGTGGCATGGGGGATATGTAAGGCCGTTCATTGATTAATAGACATGTTGTTGTTCAGTTTGCTTGTAGACAAATACAATGTCTGACCTCTGCAAATAAAAACTGTTTATGTACTGCCATGTTACTTCTGTTTTTAACAGTGACAAATTTGTCTTTTTTCATGTAGGTTGTGTTTGCAAGCTTAGATATGGTGATAATACTATTAGTTTCCTATTATAAACAAAGTAAGTGTCTTCACTTTTATGGATTGTGTTAATGACTAGTGGTGATCCATATCTTCTTTTAATTTCAAATCAAAGAAGGTGAGAATTTTGGATTAGAATCATGTCTTATGCAAATGTCTGCTACTGGAAAGCATCCATTAACATAAGTTATTCTGTTATTATGCTACATGTATTCAGTTGAATAAATATTTTTGAATAATAAATATACTGTTATATTGATCTGAAATATATTTCTACATATTCTTGCCATTATTTATAAATTTAATCAAATACTGACATTGTGAAGCTGTCTGAAGTTATTGCTGTCCACCAAACCATGACGAAACACAATGAAATATTACAATAAAAAATGAATGTTTCCACTGTTTTTTATCTGTAGCTGTGTGGTTTGATTCATGACCTACATAAGGAGAACAAGATTTTTTCTGAATTTAAGAACTTGCATTGGATATTTATTAAAATAAGACAGTTAAAACATTTTAGAAACTGTACAAACAATTGTATGGATAATAAGTAATATATTAACTGTCATAACATAACAAATTATACAACAAATTACTTGAGTGGAAGATATTGCAATCATTCTCAAACTTGTTTGGTTCTCAAGAATGATGCCAGACAGGAGGTCCAAAAAATAAGTGACATTTGAAGAAATTTGTACAATTTCTGTAAGGCTTGAACCATAGTAATGAGTGAAGGAAATCTGTAAATGTAATCTACAGCAAATCTTGCATGCAGTCAGTATGGTCCATGTTGCTTAGTTGGGGATTCAGCTTCTTGATTATAAACTACCATAGGAAAAGAACACAAGGACCCAAGGACCCACACCTCAGTTTCAAACACTGATTCCTAGAGAAAATGTAACTAATTAGGCGAAACCAAATTTGTTTCTTGTTTTTATAGACTTTCTGATTTGTTTAATAGAGGCAAGAGGGAAAATAAAATTAATAATTTAATAAAAAAAACACTTATGATTGAAGCATTTCTTTATCAAAAGAATATTCACAGAAATATATTAATCAAATTGTATGTTAAATCAAACTGCATTTTAAAAAAACAACCACTTTTGCAAACTGTAGGTGGGTCCATGAAACAAAACCTAGATCTGTCCTCGTGCAGTACTGATTGATGTTCTTACAATGACATGATACCACGATTTACCCAGCAGTGTCCTTGTCTTGGCGGTAGCTTGTTCCAATTGATCAACTGATTAGATAATTGCTGCATCATTGAAACCTTCTTACATACTGTATCCCCTACAAGGTCACACCCTATTGAGAAGAGGGAGGGAGGACCCCTGCACAGCCAATGTTATGACATACTCTAGGCTCATATAAAAATGTAATACATTAAATACAGCGTGTATTACTTACTGCAACATCTGTTACAGTTTCAGTGTTGCAGGCTTAGCCTTGCCTGTTGTTGTTGCTGCTCATCTTTATGAAAGTTGAAATGCTGATTTACCTCATTATTGTCTCAGGTGTATTATTTGTGTTGCCATGGTAACCAGCTGTTTGGGCCACTTAGGTAACAGTGATGTGGAGTATCAGAGAAAAACATGGAAGTCCAGTGATGGAGTTGATTGTTGGATTATTATCTTGATGTGTAGCGACTGAGAGCTTGGTGGACCTTCTATTGGAAGGATTAACAAAAAAATCTTTGGATCTCGCGTATGGCATTTGTCAGCTCTAGTGGTGAGTTCTTCAAGTGGTCAGTGTTAGATTGTTTCCGGCACAACATAATAGGATTGATCATGTCTAGCTTGTGTCATGGATGTCTCTTTACCCTAACAAACTGATAATATTGTTTTCAGCTGTGTATTAGTATAAGGTAAAGATGAGTGTAGTTTCAGAGGGTTACTGTAGTAAATTCTTAAAGTAAAATGTCTGTAGTGTTGTTAAAGAAAATATATGTTATCTCTGTGTTACAGACTTTTCATGCAATAGGATTTCTCATTTGCAGATGTAGAGATTGTGACTTGTTTACCTCTTTGGTTTTGTTTGCTGTTGTGTTTGCAGATTTGAGTGTGCGTAATAATGAGTGCTTTTGTATTAGGAATTGAATGCTAAGCATGGTCTCTGCACACAGGATATTCACTGGCCTTGCTGCTAAGAGGTTAGTTTTATGTTTACAAACTGCACTCAGCAGCAGTATTTTTAAATATCATGGAAAGTTTGGAACAGATGTAGGATATGTGGGTCAGAAAAAGTAATCAATGCACATTTTGTCGCTTGTTTTGTGTAGGAAGTATGTGTGTATGAAAATGTTGATCATGAGAATTTTTATGTTTTAAACCATATTTCTGAGTAAACCTTTGGTGTGTATACTCATGAGAGACCTCTACAGCTTTCTTCATATCTGGGCATGAGCTTTTTCAGATTCAGATTCAGATTCTTTATATCTCCATAGACCATCGACTGTACAGTACAGAAATAAATATAATATAATATATGTACATCCACTGGTAAATTGTGGTTGTTAGTGAGGAATTTTAAGAGCGGGTAATAAATGGATTTAGGTAGATAGAGATAGTTTTCAAATAATGGCAAATTCAGTCATGTTCATACCTGTCTATAACCTTCTGGTTCTGTCCGTCACATGTCATATTTCCAAAGAACAATGGGGAAGGACAACAAACTGTTTGAAATTTCATGATGTAATGTAGCTGAAGAGAAGTCTATTACTACCTTTATTTTTTCAAATCCATTTTTTCCCCCCTTAGAACAAGATTAGGAACACTGATAAAAGTCTATATTTAAGAAATAGACTTCGAGTTTGAGTTGTTTATTGACTGATAAACAACAACCTCGAGTCATTTATTTCTTATATGAGATATCAACATTATGTATGGCCTCTTTAAGGATGATGATAAAATGTAAGAGCTTTAAAAGTATTTACCCAAAATTTAAAAATGATGACTCCCTGAATAGAATCTCACCTAGGAAATGTTGGATGAGTCCATTTTACGAACAGATGGGTATTTTCTGCTTATTCTCACAATCTTCACGTCGATTACCTGTACCTTTTTTCCCAGTACTGATTGTCATATCTCTCTTTGGATGTGATTGTTCGACCATCCCGTTTATCTGTGTTGCCAAGCTTCATATATGAGCAAGAACTCACAAGACACTCCCCTCTAAGAAATAACTTTGTCCAATATCCGATGTCATCAAGTTGCGAGCGCATGTTCGAATCTCCAGAAATGACATCATGACAGAACAGTGTTTTATCGTGAAATATACCACACTTCGTTCTTCATTGTTCTTTGTGATTTTTTGCATAGCTATCTTATATCTATAGGCATATGCATAGATAAGATAGCTGCGCGATAATGTAAATTGTTCCCCATAGATGTAGCTGGGCTATGCAGAGGCTGTGCATAATGTTGATATCTCATACCTTCATGGTTTATTCTCCCTGCAGTGTTTTATTGTATTATAAACAACTGTCACCCATTGTTTATGTTCTAAATATAGAAGTTGGATGTGAACATGACAAGGAGTATCAATATGCATAACAATTCTTTATTATACATACACAATGTTTCAGGGCTACGTCTTGACTCTCCATCACCTAATGAAGAAGCAAGAAGTAGCCCTGAAACATTGTGTCTGAGTAATAAAGAAGTTGTTATCCATAATCATGTTCCTGGTCATGAACACTGATAAAGCTGATACTGTAGTATTAAACAACATCAAACATACAAATTCCTTGATGAACATGCTTTGTTATCTTAATACTCAAACTAATTCTAAAGGATTCGTGTGGTGTTGAGTCATTATTGTGATCTTGTACTGTAATTAAAAACCTAATGTTCCACCATACCAACAGTAGAGGACTCGGGCACTCACCAGAGTTTTATCTTTGACATGTGATTTCAGTTTTGATTTGTGTGTTGACATTCCACCCAAAACATTACAAGACAATATGTCTCATGGTTCACTAACTGAAGCTTATTGTTTCTATGGTGTAGGTTAATGTTGGTTGTGAGTTGGAGGTGTTAGTCACTTTATTGTCATACTGAAAAGCCAGAACAGTAGGTGTGAAGACTGGCCAGCTGCCAGCTGATCTCTCCACATGGTGCCATGTCACATGACCTTATTACATTATGGTATTTAATGGGGTTTTTAAATGGTGGTCAGGAATGGAAGAGGATTGAAAATGTATTGGTCGGACATAGTACACACATGGATCAGTACTTGTATAAGTGACCACTGGTTTGTCTATAAATGATCTGATGGCGTCCACAGTAGGCCACAGAACAGCACTGCCTGTTGTTATACCTCTATTAAGAATCATGCAATTGCATTGGTAAATCCTTACCACATGACGAAACAATACAGTTCAATGTAGACCCCGTAATTATGTGACTGACACTGACCTCGAATTTTGACTAGTCACATGATCAGTATTGATCTGTTACGTGATGAACATTGACTCATCTGCTAGAAAACAAGATGGAATCTGGTAGAAATGTTTCATGATTCGTGGCTAAGCTACTGTAATGAAACAGAGTAGGGTTTAAAGACTTCATAAACTTTAAAGTGAATTTCGGTATAATAAAACGAATAATTACTCTTGACCAGGTAAAATGCCAAAACAAGGACCCTAGAACCCGACCAACTCGGGTCGGGTCCTTGTTTTTGCATATTGACCTCATCAAGAGTAATTATTTGTATATTGTTATACCTCTATTAAGAATCTTACCATGTGACGAGACTATACATTTCAATGTAGACCCCCAAATCATGTGACTGACACTGACCTTGAACATTGACTCTTCTCAAGATCAGTATTGACCTGTTACATGATGAATATTGACTCGTCTTCTAGAAAACAAGATGGCGTTTGGTACTAACATTTCACGGTTTGCAGCTAAGTTACTGTTATCAAAGACGTACATTGATATATATGTTTTTGTTGTAATGAAACAGAGGATGGTTTAAAGGCTACTTAAACTTTAAAGGGACTTTCAGAATAACCAAAGCAAATGATTTTTCTTGATGAGGTCAATATGCGAAAACAAGGACCCGAGGACCCGACCCCTGAAGTGGTCTGGTTGGACTGAGGCTGCAGTCAAAAGTAATTATTTGTATATTGTATGCTTGACGAGATGATTGTAACTGAAACATGTCACTACTTTTTATTGTTGGGAGTTTAGCTAGACTGGTACAGTTGCCCTCAGAAACCCAATTGAAATAATAGTAATACATATTTCATTTTATGTTTTGCCAAATATTTATAGTTGAACAACAGCGATGAAGACTGATTTTGAGTTGAAAGTCATTTAACAAAAGGAATGACTACAACAACGTTCAGGTTACAAGATAGCATTGTTTTACACTGTTTCAAGTCTTTGTAAAACATGTAAAGACAAATTCAGTACAACTGATGTATCAACACAAAAATGATAACTGATAATATATTATATGATATTAAAGAATGAAAAACTGAAAATGAAACTGAAGTCAAACAACAAATATTGTGTGAATAATTCACCTATATTAATTATATAACCATCAACTTGTTCAGGTACAACCTTTGTTTACCAAAATAGTAAATGATACTGACACTAATTCTCCAGTGCCTGTCATTCTAGTAAATCTCTGTAACTCATTAATTGTCCTGACAGGGCTGGGAAAGGGACGTCCTGTCCATGTGATAAAGTTGTCTCCAAGATAGTACATTAGTATGGAGGTTCATGACCTGTCTGTCTCCCCTGCAACCTGATCCGGAGTCGGGGCTGTAGTGCCAGATTACCTGATGTCACAAGTCACTTATCCCATGCATATCTTGCTGCAGGTCACAGGGTCACTGTTTCATCCCTCCCCTGTACAATATACTGCACGAATGCTGGGACAATAGCAGGGAGGAGCATTGTGTCAAATATTGAATTTCAATCAAGCATTATTCCTGCATAAGGAAAGGACTATTGATATTGTCAGGTCAGAGGATGCAGAAGTGAAGTGCACAGGTTTGATTAACTCTGATACTGTCACTGCAGTGTAGTTTGGTTATTTTTTGTTTGTTGTTACATGGACATGTATGTTAATTGTTCAAATTAAGAGGGTTTTTGGGTCCTTGAGGTTTGCTCTTGTAGCATTTGAAGACATCCTAATTCTCCTTGTTTTAATGAAATATAGGTTTTTGAAAGTACACAATCACACGGCTTTGGCTGCTTTGGCCCTTTCAGTAATCACTTCTTTTAAATCAGCTGTTGTTGTTCCTGGGTTTACTTGCTTCGAAATAACAGTCAGCGATACTCTCATCTGTTTCAATGTAGGATAGCTTTAGAAATATATATAAGACTCATAAACATGCCATTTTATTTGTATTCAATATATGTTTCATGTTTATGAGAAATATTTAATCAATGTGTAACAAGGGTCCTGTATGCTGTGCATTATCATGATTGTTGTGATCAGTCGTGCAACAGACAATGGTACTTGTGACATCACTGATATGGACATGTGATTTGATAAAACCTTGATCACAACATGGGTCTTTTCTTAATATCTCCTCATACTATCATGCTTAAGATGGGATCTGTTTGTTAACATTGATAAGTGTTCAGTTAAGGGACAGTTATGTATGTCATTTTGGGGCATGTTTGACAGTATGAACGTGTTGAATAAATTAATTTTATGAAACTATATTTCATAGATAGCCATTCTGGAATATTGTATCAATGTTT